ATGCAGGATAATGTTTAAAATGTGCTTTCAATAAATCTCACAGTACTGAGGCCGCTGGTGGTTCCCTGTGCTGCACATGGTGCCTTGCATGTCCCTGTTCTCTATAGCTGCAAAAATAAAATCAATGTTAGACGACCAGAAGAGGTCCTGTGGGACAAACATGTGGAAGGAGCAGCTCTGGTCAGATGTGATCAAAACTAAGAAAAAAACAGTGAACATTGTATTCCAACACAAAACATCCAATAATGTTTTGTGTTGGAATAAACACCACAAAACATAATTGGTTTGTGTTGGCAGTTCTGCTTTATTTTCCAGGCAGTTCCATGTAATCCTGGTAGCAACATGGACAGTAACGTCCGTCTGCATCAGAGAGACAAACCCTGCACCGTGTAGCTATACTCGCCCTACAAATAGAACTGAATACTTCTGCACTCCACCCTTTATTGATGCATTTTTGAGGACCATTGGTTAGTAGATTGTATCTACTAACCAAAAATCCCCTGAGGTTGTGATTCTAATGTGACAAAAGCTGAAAAGGTTCAACCTGTAGATTAGGTGTTTCTACAAAGTTCAGTCTGCGACTCGAAACTCGGCAATGTTCTCAACTATTTCTCATCAAGGTCTATTGAAACATGTTTGAGGTTTTGTGTATACGTGCAACATTTCTTTAAATAGGTTTCCTGTGTTTATTCAGATTAGCTATCAATTCAGATCGGAAGCAACAGAGGCAAAAGGGAAGGAACAAAATGTGATTCAAACTAGGTTAATAAACAGGCTAAATTTGAGTGAATGGAAAATGCCAGGGCTTAAAGCTGCAGAATTAAAAAAATATCTCACACTCTGCTCTGATTGGCTGTTGAATAGTGTGGGATGTCAAGGAGAAATAAATGATACAAAGCACTTTTTTTTTTACCCCAAATTTTACTCAAATAGTTTGCTTACAAAGTTTTAAAGCAGCCTTATGGACAGAGATCTAAAGACGACAGCAGGACAAAGATAAAAACAAGCGTCTGGCCACATTATCCTACAGAAAGGCCAGCTACTTTTACTTTCCTTATCACAATTCTAGCTTAGAGGAGGAATAAGGGGCTGAAAGTGGGAGTAAAAACTTCAGAGCACATAACTACAGGGCTTCAAAGTATCTGAAATTTAATACTCTACAGCTAGTTGAAATAAAAACACAAACACAAGGGGAAATAAAATCCAATTTTCAGGATGGTTGTCAAGGATACACAGATGTATCAAAGGTTAAAACTTCCTGAAAGAAATAAGTGCTTTAGCTTTAAGAAAAACTCTGGAACAACAGGAAGTTGTCACCTTCCATTTCCTGCACAGGAACAAAAACAATAAACAAACAAAAAAAAAAGCTCTAAAAATTTTAAACCCGTCAGCATAATAAATATAAATACATCTCAAGTTGTCTTTAGATTGGTGAAAAGCATGCGACAAAAATAGCTTTCTTCTCAATCTGGATGCATTTTGCATAAATAAGGTAGCACTATTATTTACAATATTTATAATAATCTACGAGACAAAAAAAAAAAAAATCACCTTGGCCCTTTAAAATGTAAGGCTAGAGAACATGTCTAGACTTCCTTCCATCTTCACAGTAGATGCACCATAACGAGCTGTGATTCAACTACACACTTACTTAATCAGATCCTATTCAGTTCGTTAAAATTATTCTACGATTCTATGATGGAAAATTACAGTCTAAAAAACTGGATACAAAAAAAAAAAATCTTCGGGATCTACAACTCTTTGGGGTCAAAGTTGGAACAGTTCATGACAAAAAGAAGAAAGCGTACATTTTAACTGCATTTGTTAAATAAATTTTTAAAAAATTCCTTTAGAAGAAAAAATAAACGGGAAGTTGGAAATAAATAGCTGCAACCTGATCAGGAAAGCTTGATGAAGCGGTGATTGTAGAGAAACTTAAACTTACTGTCCCGTTCAGTCCTAATGCTTACACTTCACTGATTAATGGCTTCTTCCTGAAGAACGGAGAACAGAGGTCTAACAGGATGTTATAAAGCACGAGTCGTTTTAAGTCCCAGCCGTAGTTTAGATATATGGAGGCTTCTGGAGGAAGGCAAAGAAAGCAAAGAAAACAAAGAGAAAAGAGAAGAACAGAAAGAAAAGAAAAGAAAAGAGAAAAGCAGAGAAAAGGAGGGGAACGGCAACCTGTGAGCTAGAAAACTAAAGAAATGAAGACTTTCATGTTTCCATAGTGATTTATTTTGGTAAAACATGGCAGCAGTCACTCCATGATGGCTCGGTAGATAACGGGCTCTATGTAGTCCTCTCTGTATCGGGAGTTGATGACTCGCTGTCGTTTGGAGTTCTGTTTGACGTTGCTCTGTGTGAATAGCTCGAAGCGCATGTCCGACGCCACTGACTGGAGACAGAACACAGAGGGTGAAGGGGCAGGAGAGAGAGAGGCTGTGGGTCGCCGCGGGTCACTACAGGTCAGCACTCACGCTCATTCATGACAGAACAGAAAGAAGAAACTCAGCCTACCATTCGAGACTTGACTCGTTTGGGCAAATCCTCTTCAGGCGTGTAAATGTCTTCTCTCTTCACTGTGAGTTGTGATCCGTCTTCAAACTCCACCTGTAGGGGGGCGCGCACACACACACACACACACACACACACACACACACACACACACACACACACACACACACACACACACATTAAAAACTTGACACAGATATGATGTACAGGACAGTGTGAGGGACCAGCAGCAGCAGGTTTACCATGTACATAGGGACGGAGTGGGATGCTACAAACTTAGCTCCGTACAGAAGGCCGTCTGTCCATCGCACTTGGACAGGCTGGCCTGCAGAGGGCGGGCCGAGCCGGACGCAGTCCCGGTTCTGGAAACACACAGAGCAAAGTGTCAACTTTAACTATGTGTGTGGATTTCTGAAGCTGCATAAACTGTTACATTTCTATATGTGCAGAAGCAACACAGAGATGATAAACACTCTACACAGAGCCTCGTACTTCAGAGCAGCGTTTCAATTCCACAGAAGATTACAACGTATAGTAATTGTATGTGTTCACAGTTAATGTTATTGATTTTATCAGCCTTTCTATAACACCAGATCAGAATGTGAGCGAATTCTGTCCCTTCATGGTTGCTCATCTACCTGTCGGCAGACAGGTAGAGGAGCTGGTTTTTTAAAGTTTCACACAAAGAAACTATAAAAAAAATAAAAAAATAAAAAAACAGACTGCAGACCAGGTTCAGAAAACTATCAGACACGATTCAGGTCCACTTATGGAAGTGGCTCAAACCAGATATTTTGGGGTGAAAAGACTGGAAGTGGGCCGTTCAGACGGCAGTGAAACAGTGAATATGGGTTGCATTTGGATGAAAAAAAAAATATATATAAATATAATTTGAGTCGCATTCGCCTACTGTGTGAACTTTGCCTCACTTCCTCTAATTTAGATTATTAGAAGTGCCAGCTAATGAAAACCCAAAATAATACTAAAAATATCAACAATAGTTATGTTTCATGTAGAAATATTCATATTGTGTCCTTCAGTCATGTTGAGATTTCTGACTAAACAGTCACAGGAAGGCTAAGCTACAGAAGGCCGTTGCTAAGGAAGCTGGCTGTAGTCAGGCATGTTAAAAGGAAATGCAGAGTAGGTTGTGTAAAGCTGAAGTGTTACTGTGACCGACTGACCTCACATGACCCCGGAGAGCACATGTGACAAACTCAGGCCCTGCAGGCCAAATCTGGCTCACCATAGACATTTCTGAGGGCCTCGGAGGGCCACAAACAGAAGTCCACGATAACAGCTGTGTGATTATCATTTTCAGTCGAATCAATTCAGTTTTTATTTTATATAGGGCCAAATTACAGCAATGTGAAAAGATGTGAAATGTGATTTAATTTTAAGTGCAAATCAAATGCAGAGAAAGATGTAGTATTTAACAGTTTATAAATAGGTAGTTTTATCTATCTGTTCTGCCACGACCCTTTGATGCAACATGAAAATGCCATACAGAATCAATGGAGTCTCATCAAGAAGGAGATGAGACGAAAGAACGAAGAATGTAGAAGAGCTGAAGGTTTCCTGAACACATCAGCAAAAACACAGACTGATCAATAAATCACACAAATGGAGCCCCAACTAAGAACTGTCTCCTGGTCTGGATTGAAAATCCTAACTTTATTTACCTAACTTTATATGCAGTTACCAAAGAATGTGTGATTTTCTTCAACCGTGAATAAAATGCATCACTCCGCTTTAGGATTTTCTAAAGGTGTTGTATTAATCAGCCTATTTGTGTTTTTTGTGTGTGTGTGTGTGTGTGTGTGTGTCCTGTTTTGTTTTTCTCTTAACAAATAAATGAGACATGCATATACTGGTGGTTTTTTATGTTGTTTTTCTTCTTTCTCTTCCATACTGCTCTTAGTTGCTATTTACTTTGTTCATATAAATAAAAAGAAAAAAGAACAGCAAATGATCAGATGATATTTCTGCTCTTTAAGTTGTAACTCTGTACATTGGTGAGTAAAAAAAGATAAAGAATAAAAAATACCAATCACAGCCCTTCGTTTTGAATGGAACCATGGGAATGGATAACTGTCATGGTTTGTTTGTTGATTGGACTGTACCAGTACTGACCTCGATGTCCTCTGGGAAGAGGTTGTCGCTGTATGAGCCGTCATCAAACACCACCTCGTAGAAGGTGGCGGTGGTCAGCTCCACCACCTCACTGTAGTAGTAGCGGCAGTTCTTGTGCTTACAGATCACCTTGTGGCCCACTGACAGATCTCTCAGAGAGGCCTTGTTGCGCTACAGAACAGAAACTGAGTGTTACATCAACTAGAGCGGCAGTGAATCAAACAAAGAGCCAGAGGTATGAAGGCGACGCTCCACTAATGGATTAGGACTTTGAGAGAAATGCTACACATTTCTCTGCTTCTAGACATATCCAGCTTGGGCAATGAACAGGATCTAGAACGTGCACAGAATTAGCTTCATGGAGCTCCACTACAGCACTATGAGGACAGGTTTGTTGACCGACTTGACATAACACCAAGGCAAGATGGCTCCTGTCTGTGTGACAGCAATCTGAAGAAGCTTCTGATTGAAGAAATGGTTGCTCTAAAACAGTCTCATGAAGAAGATGCTCAGGATCGTTTGTTTTTCATTTTATGAGGATTTTTTTTTTGTATGATAATCTCCACAATCTCTGGATTGTGGAGAGCAAGTTTTAATAACTTGCTCTTATTTAGCAAGTTATTAAAAGGGGAAAATTTGAATAAAATGTAAAATTCAATTGAATGTGCTGCTGCTGAGAGGAGCTGAACAGAAACTCTGCCTTGTATGGTCCCATGTCTGCTTGTTGTATAACTTAGTGCTGTATTTATGATTGGTTGAATTCTATACAGGCTGCTGGATTTGGACTTTAGTCTCCATTTCTTTGTACCAGTGAGATTTAACACTCTGCTTTTCTACAGTCTAGGTAAGTAAGCTCAGTGTAGAGCGAGTTGTTATAGAAACAGCGCTCTAAGGCTTTGGCTCAGTCCATCTTTCTCTATGCTGACTATAGATGAAAGAGAAACATTTATGCTCTAAATTGGAATATTTAAGAGTTTGGCTTAATTTTTGTTTAGTTGTGTTATTCAATTTCAATATATAAATGTTTTGCATGTGTTCATGTTTAAAATAAATCAAAGTGCTGCATGTGTTTTTTATTAAACCGATAGGACTGTACTGAATGTTTTAGGTACTGATACATGTATCGATACAGTCCTAAAAAAAAAAAGGTCAGTAGTCCTGCTGACAGCAGGAAAATGCTTAGACAGGAAATACTGGGAGGGAGATCAATCAACAAGGAGTTCAGGTTTATTCTTTAAATCAGGAACAGCACATATTGGTGAAAAAATATGAAAATATACCAGACCAGCTGAACTCATCACTCAGAGGCAAAAAACCCCGTTATGCACATAAAAATAACACTGTGTTTTTGCAATTGATAGGAATTTAAATATTGTTTATTTCTGTACTAGTGTCACCTTGTTTCTTGTTGTGTTTTTCAGTATGGTGTATTTTTTTTCTTTTCTCCAACTTGTGTGTGTTAAAAAACACCAAAAATAAAGAAACTTATGTAATATTATGTAATATAATCGTCGCCTAAAGTTGACCTCTAACCGTCAGCCCAGCTGTGGCCCTGCTATGTTACCTCAGGTATGACAGGCGCTCTGTGCCGGTGGCAGGTGATGAAGACGACGAACGGCCAGTCGTCTGGGTGCATGAGTATGCCAGCTGCCTGAGCACAGGAGGGATGAAACGCTGTGGAGCAGCGGCCATGGGAGCACTGGACGCAGCAGCCCTTCACCTCCCTCTTCATTCGTTTCCTGCAGCACGCACACTTCTGCTCACACAACCCAGGAGGAACAAAGAGAGCAGTCAGAAAAAGGGAAAAACAGAATGACTTTACAAGGGAAAGGACAAGGGGAGGATGTCCACTATCAAGGGCAGCAGAGACACATGCTAGAGCCAAAATATGCAGAAAGGGAAATTACACAAATTTCCCTTTGATACTTTAGTGCCATCATGACATCATGGGGCTTTTCTCATTTCATTTATGTGACTTACATCAATGAACAGGTCAGCTATTATGCTTGTTAGCTTGTGGTGGCATAACCAGCACTCACAACATGACATAATGCAGACAGAACGTCACCAAGCCTGAAAGGGGAAACCCTGCTGGTCAACTCTGCACAAAGTGAAAATTGCAACATCATCTTACATACCAAACTTTCATCTATATGGGTTTTAGCAGAAATGGTTCCAACCACAAATATAGTAACACTAACAATGAAACTAGCTTCTGAGCTGGCAGTGAAATAAGGGCAGGTTGAACTATTTATTTGAAATCTATGTCAAAAATTATGATAAATCGGTTTTATTTTCTGATTTTGAAGACTTAATTTTTGGAAAATCAAGTTTGTTTGTTTTTTCCACCAGTGTTATCACAGTTCAGAGTGATGTCAGCCCACCCAATAACTGCCATCATGTTTGACCAGTGTATTTTACTTATTTTGACTTTACCAGCTTTGTCAACTCACAGAAGGAGTGATTAAAAAAACAGCCAGTTATTAAGTTATTTTTAAGGTATTTTCTGTCATTTGTTATTTTTTAAGGAAAAAATATATTTATATTGGAAATTTAATTTAAATTTATTTTTATGAATTGGAAATTTTATTTTTAAGTCACATCACACTGCTTTAATTAGAGGGTAAAGCAGTTGTGAAAGTGCCATTTTTAAGTATTAAATGAAGAACTTAAAAATCTAAACCTTAATTAGTTGAATTAAAAACTCAAGACACAAGCTGTCATCTCAATATAAATAGATGTAAAAGTCTTTCATTTCTTATTCTAATACCTAATGGATGAAAATCTAAATATCTGATTAAGTCTGGAAACAATGTTTCCCCTATGTTAATTTCTGCTTAATTTTCAGATTTTCCAAATTGATTGAAGCAAACTCCACATTTTCAGGACTGTGTAGGAACCCTGAGAGTAGTGACAGAAGGATGTGAGAGAGAACAAGATGTAACTTCGGATCAGCAGGAATTCCCTTCTTCCGTTTTAGAACAAGCACAAACACAAAGGAAGAAAGCGCCTCTGGGCTCCTACCAGTCTGAAGCGAGGCAGCGGGATGGCAGAGAGGTCGATGGGGCTGCGCTTGGTGATGTTGACAAAGCGCGCTTCCAGGACAGTGATGGCACACAGAACATGGACCCATCTGAGGGAAAGGTAAACATAAAGCATAAATTCTGGATTAATCAAACAAATAACTTCTTCAAGGTAAAAACAGCTAAACATGACGATGACACTAAAGATGGAATATAAATCCCTATCGAAAGGAATTTCAGATTTTTGTTCCAGGTCTGACTTGTTATTTTAAACACTACAACACATAAATCAGAAAAAAAAATATGTGCGGTACATTTTATGATTGTTTTGAATTTAATCCCAAGAAAATGGAGTTGTAAGATTATTCCAATTAGTACATCAATAACCATGACCCCAATCTTTATCAGATTGTTTTAATACTCAAAAAGTGCAGTAACTGCTGGTAGATGGGTTTTGATGCAATTAATAGAGAAACGCAAAAAATAAAAAAAATGTCCCCAGTGAGTAAAGATACTGGTTTCAAAACAAAATATACCAAACTACAGATATCTAATTAATACAGAAACTTTACATTTTTGTTCTCATCTGCACAACTGCAATATTCCATTCATGCATTTACATGCAGGCTGAATGATGAATCAGTAGGGCTTTAGAGAAGGTCTGGGTAATGTGGCTTAAAAATTAAAGTTCAGATTTTTTTATAGAAAATCTGATTTTAAATCAGTTCTTTTCCTCTCTTTTTGTTTTCTTAAAAAGAGATTATAAATAATAGAAAATATTTTCTAAAACTCACTTTCATTTCAATCATCTCTTCTGGAAGTTGACCTGAATTCAAACAAATACAAGCTGTAATACTTCTGCTTGTAAACCCAGATGGGAAGCTCTGAGCAGGCTGACATTACTGAAATACAGAAACACACCGTGTGTGTTGGTGGAAAAATGAAATCTTCATAAACAGAAAATTCTATTAAATTGAAAAAATTATTTTATTGCCCAAGCATACTTTAGAGTAAAAGAAAAATCAATGATTTTCTTTATCCACAACAGTCAGACACACTGTTGTTTTGTTTTAATTTCCTGTAACATTTCCTGTTGCTTTCAGTCACTTAACCCCACAATGAATAATTAAGCGTTGACAGTTCTATAATAACTCCTCACAACACATGCGGTGTAAGCTCTATGTTTTTGTTGTGTGGCTCTATAACCAGCATCAGGTTGAACAAACTGTCACCAGCCCGATCAGGCGTTACATTTTGCATCAGACACCAAAACCACCAGAGTTCATTTCTGAACCTCCAGAAAAACTCAATCATCTCTGGTGTTTTTCTAAGAATAAAAAAAGATTAAGTCATATTTTCCCTGCCTCTACTACTTACTTGTCATTGTTGGCTCTCTGCAGGGCTCCACCTCTCAGCGAACACAGGCAGCAGTCCTGAAAGAGGGAACAAGAAATCATTCTGTCATAACAGTCCTGCACCTCGAGGAACGCCCGACTGATAATTAATTGTAACTCGTTTTAATCAAGAGCGATGAAAGTAACAAGGAAACTGAGATCAGTGGCATTTTCAAAGGTTCTGACCAGCAATAGCAATTTTAGATTCTACATAAAAACAATTACTAGGTAAAAAAAAATTACTTGGGTGGAGGTGGGAGATGGAAATACTTTTAATTAAGGACACAGAAGTTACCAAAAACTAATCTAAGTTAATAAATATAAAATAATTTAATTAACTGAACAACAACATAAAACAAAAAAATATATTTACAAGTGAAACTACTATAAATAAATGTTATCTCGGATGTCTTTACCAACTCAGCACTGCCCACTAGTGGAAGACAACGATCAACCATATGAAGCATACAAGACTGCTGAGAGCCAGGAGTGCGGAGAACCGTCCTCCATGACAATATGTGAAGGAGCAAAAATGCTCCAACCAGTTAACTGCTAATGGAAACATGAGGGAAGCCAACAAACTAACCTCAGTGATGGCACTGGCCTCACAGCGAGCACATAGCCAGTTGTCATACTCTGCCTCTTCTCCAGAAACACCGTAGCAACCTAAGCATGAGCAAAAAAAAAAAAACAAGTCATACATTCCTGATGTGTACTGAAGCAAAATGTCAAGTATTTTTCATTCTTCATTAAAAATACTTTGAAACTATTAGCAGAATAGACATATATGTAAAAAGCAACACTTTACTCAATAATAAAACTTAAATCTGAAAAACAGTTTAAAAAATCTTGACAATGCTTTAGGCAGCAAAGGCTTATTGTGTCTCAGCTATTTTAAGTTAACTGTAAATTTACAGGTAATATCTGAGTGCCTGTGCAGACACTGGATTATTTTCCAATCTATCTATCCAGAGGGGTGGGCTTACTTGTATGCACTCGAACGTAGCACTGAGCACAGCTGATGAGGCGGCTCGTCCCATCCTCAGCGACGTGAGGATTGGACAGCTGACCCTGTACGCCATCGTTTGTTCTGGCTGAATGCGTGTTGAAGCACATTTCAGGGATGAGCGGCCGGGACCACTGACGGCCTCCTCGGCGGTTCACCAGCATCAAGCTGGAGCTCTCCTCACCAGACTCAGACTTTAAGGGGAGCAAAGAGAGCCAAAGAGTTTATTTCAACCCAACCCTTTGGTATTTCAAACTCAGTGAACTGATGTGCAGCTACTTAACCTTACAGCGTTACATTAACTGACCTGTCAGGCTTTATTTGTCAGTATCTGACTGCAGTTTTCTGGCCGATCACTGATCTTTAAACAGCTTGATTTAGGCTATATTAATATTTTTGTTGGCATCACCAGCGGTTAAAATGTTAGCATTTATTGCCGTAAGCAGCTGCTTAGTTAATTTATGGCTTATATTGGCTCTAAGCATGGGCAGCATTAAATCGCGTCTTAAGATCCACTGGCTGATTACTTAACTGGCATTTAATAAAAGTGCAAAAAATGTATATTTATTTTAATTGTATTTTTTGTTTGTGGTTATCAAGACTCTATAGCTGTGTGTTTTAAGTACTGTCAACAATGTCATCCAGTAATACAATAACCCTGTAATATTTTTACATTTCCTCTCAGAGTAACATTTAATACAAAAACATGGTTGACCGCCTGGAACCCCGACCAACGGGGTTAGCAAGTTTTCTGGTGGAAACCCCAGAAATGCAATTAGAGTTTCTAAATATAATGGAAAATAAATCATAAAGCATGAAATCACTCAGAGCAAAGCACAGGATCTATGATTAAAAATCTAATTGATTAAAGTATGTATTAAAGTAAGTATGTTTACAGTGCAGCAGTCCTGTAGTTGGTACCTGGTGGTAAGTGTAGAAGAGCAGACAGATGGAGCAGTAAGGAGGCTGCTGGCCCATCCTTTTATTGTAGTCCCACTCTGCCTGGGGGTTGTAAGGCTGGCTCTGCCACAGTTGGGTCAGAGGCTTTGCCCACTCCTCCTTCTCTTCTTGTTCAACCTCTACACTGATGTCCTGATCTGGAGACAAGAGGGAGAAATCTTTTAATAATGAAAAGCAATGATTTATAAACCAAAATGTGATAAAAAATAAATAAAAAATAAATAAAAAATAAAAAATAAACAGAGTCAACCTTGCAGTGAGAACTGAACAGTTTCATACCATCATCACCGCATGTCTCTCTGATCAGAAGAGGGTGATGGCGAGGCAGTCGACAAAGCTCTTCTTCCTGCTCCTGTTTTTTTGACTCAAGCTTGCAGTAAGACTGCTCTTCTAATACCTGCTGGAGAAAAAGGAGAACAGCATATCTTCAAAATAAGCATCACATTGTCGCTGTAGACACATTAAAATTTGGAGATTTTAATCTACTTGAAACATTGGGGCCGACCGGGGCCTCTGTACTCGTGTGCGTCAAATCCTAATCAAATTCAGTCTAACCATGTCATCAAACTTAGCTCCCTTGAACTACTTACATAAGTCTGAGGAATCACCTGGACCTCATCCTGCTTGTGTTGCTCTGCAGGAATGGTGTCTTTCAGGATGATAATGCCACTGTCCAGTAGTGGACACTCGGAACTCTGTAGTTTAAACAGTAGATTCAGTGGATCCAGAAGATCAATAAAGGCAGAGAACAGATTCGGGGTAAGATGGTTGATAAAAGTGGTTTCTGCCATGAGAACGACTTAGTTAAGACTCTTTTTGTTAGAATAGTTAGTATGAGGGGAATAATGTCATAATAAAGTCATGCAGTGAAAACACACCAGTACAGAGACACCAAAGAATGTTTCAGTTCAGCAATAGATTAAAATCCCAATTTGATACCCAAATCAAATTGACATTTTATCATTCGAAATAAATGTCACTAAATTAGCTTATGAACTGTTCTTTTCTCAGGGCGGAATGATGACAACAACCTCAGCAAGTCTTAAAAACAACAGCTAGGTGCACAAATCTAAATTTCCTACAGATATTTTTCTAATCCAATATGTCCAAGACCAACTATTTACATAAACCCATCTTCAGCAGGTTGCTAAGAAACAAAGTGCTTTTGCAGCCATCTGAATATAAAGACTTTATCCAGTATGGTTGGTTTCCTGGTCCAGACCTGGTTTTAATGAGACACTACATGGAATAACAAAAGAGGATGACTTTAATTTTCTTCAAATGTGCTTGACACAGTTCAACAGGACAATTATCCCAAACTACTGGGCTCAAAGCTGTGTCTCTGCCAAGAAACCAAGCAATGGCTTTGCTACATGTGACTTCTTTGGAATTTGATATGGGACATTTGTGGGGATGTATGCATATAATATTTCAAGCATAAACATTTTTGAACCTCTGTAGACTAGAGAAAATCTAGTCAAATCTAAAAAAAGAACTCAATCTTTTGGACCAAGTTTTTATCTTTTAAATAAAATTAAATGGCTTGTCTTGTTTAAAAAAAAAAATAAAAAATCAAATTTAACATTAAAGGGCAGAACTCAATGTCATCCTTGTGTGCATGTAATTTTTTGACCAGGACTGTAGGTATTAATCGCTGTCAGTTTAATGCCAAGAGAAAAGGTAGAATTGGTTATTGCTACTGCGTCACATTAAGCAAGCTAGGCGAATTGTGCAGAGAGTAAAGTTAGTAAAGTTAGTAAAGTTAGCAAGAGCATAGAGAACAAAAAGGGCCTGATCACTAGCCATGTAACAAGGCCCTAGTCACAATCTTAAAGGGGCAGTATTATGATTCTGCAGCAACACTGAATCATGTTATAGTAACTATGTTAACTTCAGTTGTTAAAATGCTACAGATGTCAAACGTGTCTTAAAAGAAATTTGACATTGTATATAAATGCCTTGAAATTGGGCCTCTGTCTCTTTAAAAACTCCTGCTCGTTCTGAAACTCCACTTTCAGGAAGTCATCACAACATGACTCCTGTACTAACCCTTTAGCAACATTTTTATCAGTGTTGAGAAGTAGCTCCAATAATGAGCTCAGATGATTCACAGATCCACCAGGTGTTTGCTAGTCTGAAGCAGCTGAGAGAGAAGTCTTGGGGGGAGGGCTGCTCTGTGAGGTGGAAGCTTGGAAACCTGAAGCCAGAGCTAGATCCACCCAGGCATTTTGTACAGCTGAATGGATGCCATTAAAGGATTTCGCAAAAATGCATGAAAGAGTCAAGACAACACTCCAGATATGTTTTTGATGAGGGAATAATATAATAATATGATGTAAAGCTCAAATAATAATACTGCCCCTTTAGCATCTGATAACTTTGCTCTGCTTATCCTGACATGTTAGAGGTGAGCATATATTTAGATATTTGGAAGGACTTTTAGAAAGCAGTATAGTTCCCCCTCACATTTGGCAATAAGTATTATTTTAAGTCAAGCGACACAAACCTTTCGCTTGTTGGCTCTGGAAGCCTCCATCTTGACTTTGCTGAGGTCATACAGCTGTGTCTGGCTCTGTGGGGGGGCTGACCTGGCCTCAGCTTTGGCTTTCTCCATTCTAGCTGGGTCTTGGATGAACTGTGTTTTTTCAGGCTTGTCAATGTTTTGATTCTGGTGTGCTTGTGATTCATTAAGTTTCTCTTGTATCTGAAGAACTGAGGCTCCAGGCTGAAGCTGTGCTAGCTCCTGGCCCAGAGCCATGGGTAAAGTCTGGACCCGTGTCAGCGTGCAGGCTTTGCTCTGAAGGCGACGAGGCTGCTGCTCCTTAGCGTAGCTGTGGATTTGGAGCTGCTTGTGATGATCCTGCTGCTTTTCTGACGTGTAGCTTTGCACCAGGAGAGTGTCTTTTGAACTCAGAGTCCTGTGGAAGAGCAGGCTGGCCACACCCATTTTACGCACGGGTTGAGCGGGGGCTTCTGTCCACGTCGGCGATGCTGAAACCGACAGATGCCCATTTCTGGGCCTCGTCTGAGAAGAGATTGCAGGTGCTCGAGTCTTGGTGTAATGAGGAGGACGGCCTCCGTCACCGTTGCTCTGCGACATACTCCTATGAAATGGGTCCATCAGCGTAAGCTTTGTTGGCGTGACAACCAACTTTGGCGGCCCTGGAAATAAAATGAGAAAAGGCCATACATTTTCTTTCCCGACAGAGTAACTAAGACCAAACCAGCTGATCAAACAGGAAGTCCTTGCGATGAATGTAGTACCTTTATTTCTTCTGCCATCATGTGCTACTGCTCGGTGAGGGATGAGGCTCAGCCTGGGCCTCTTTCCATACTCCTCGTCATCGTCCTCGTCTTTGGGGACGACCTCGTCAGGCACCTCCAAACAAACACGGTGTCTTTTGGCCTCTATTCGTTGCGTGCTGAAGAATCACCAGAAACAGACGGGACAAAGGTTACCAACATATGTTCAAATTTCCATTGTTTGCTGAATAATTTTGAGGCTATTTTAGTTTGCTTGTAAAGTTTTGTATGTTTAAATGGGTCAATTTAAATAATTCTTGAACATTTCATGAAACATTACACAGGGTTACAAAAACATTTTTTTTGAAAGTAGTTTATCTTTTGACAACTGATTTATTACA